ATTCAAGATGTTTGTAACATCAACATGACCCTTTCCTGAGAATAGTAAATTTCCCTTAATGACATTAACAATAGTAAACATAAAAAGTGACAGCCAAAATTAAAATAACATACAGAAGCAATTGTAGGTAATCAATGTATAATATATATTTATATTGGTGAATATATCACTTGGTATATAACATAGATAAATTGATTTATATAGAAAAATATGCTATGTATTATGTAAATAAAGTATATCTTAAAAATACATAATATAAATATACTTATAAAAATATAATGTAATATACTATGTAATATAGAAAATATTTATAACAAAATATGAATGACAACCATATCAAAAGCTGATATATATAAATATCTGTAAAAGTAAATTAGTAAATATTAATTACCATAACAATTGATACTTTAAGTATTTACTACTGTACGATAGGTGTACTTCATATTTTTCTATTGTATTTTTCTATCAAATTTTATGTGACATATAAAATGTGGTGTGCCCATATATGGGTACAATGACATCATATTACATCATCTTGTACCAAAAAAGTTGAACGTGTTCAACTCTATGTTCCATCAAATTTTATGTGATGGTTTTTTTATGAAATTTGATAGTGTAGACAAAGCTTAAGATGGTCGAATGGGGTGGTCCTGGTTTTATATAGTCATGGTATAAGATGACGGTATGAAATGGTCCTGATGTGGGATGGTGGGATAGGATGGCCATAGTGTATGATGGTGGACCGGAATGATTATGGTATGAGATGGTGGTATAAAATAGTCATGGTGTAAGATGGTATGCTAAGATGATCATGGTATAAAATGGTAGTATAGGATGGTCATAATGTAAGATGATAGTATAAAATGGTCCTAGTGTGGGAAGGTGGGATAGGATAGCCATAGTGTATGATGGTGGACTAGGTTGGACTTAGTGTGGGATAGGACGATCATGGTATGACATGGTAGTATAGGATAGTCATTGTGTGAGATGGTGGGATAGGATGGTCATGGCATAAAATGATGGACTAGGATGATTATGGTACAATATGATGATGAAATGGTCCTGGTATGAGATGGTACGATAAGATGGTCATAGTATACTGTATATGGTGGACTAAGATGTTCATGGTATGAGATGGTGGGATAGGATGGTCATGGTATCTTCAATTTCAACAGTCTCTAATCTAAACAAGGTATAAATCTAAACAAAAAATGAACAACTTTATTTTATGTGTTAGTCAATCACCTAAGATCTAAGGAGCAGTGTTAGAAACTTATTAGGGAGAGATAGAAACAAGATGCATAATATTTCTAATTGTATTATTGCTAATAACATATTTTGATACTTATTGATTAATTAATCCTTTCTAAGTTAATATGACATGTTGCAACTTATTTTTTATGATGTGTTCCTAATTTAGAAAGACAATGTACAGCAACTATTAGACCATTCTTCATGCGATTAACGATATGAGAAATTGCACTAAATCATGTATTTGACCAATGATATATGAAATCTACCCACACAGAACTTAACATTCCTTTAAAAAAAAATAGTAGGGATCCAATATAACAGTGCTCATAATAATATTGTCATGCAAACCCTAAAAGCCAATCCATTTACAATAATCGCAAACCTCTAAAGAAAAAAACAATTAATCATTAGAAATGACATGCAGCAGTACACACGGTTGAGAAGACTAAGACAAAACAAAATACATTACAACAATCGTTCATGGTAGTCAACTAAAATGAAAATGCAAACACAATCGATTAGTATTACATCAGCAACCAAATTGGCATTCTCCAGTCAAAAGTTCTTACATTTCTTGTCGGAGTTTTCTCGAACAGCGTTCTCATTATTCTCGGAATTCTCCGCTTTAGTCTGAGCTTCCACGTCAGCAGGCGGATTTCCTGCGTAGGCGTAAGAGAAGGTACACCTTGATGTTTTTCTTCAAACATCTTTAAATATTGAGTATAATAGATTACCAATATAACATTGTGAAAATAAACCTTGTGATTATATAGGAAGACTGTTAAATTAAAAAGTCGCACTCCATACTCCATGAGTAGTAAACAATTACTTCAGGTACTAAAGCCTAACAGATTTTCTAGTAGGTCTAATGATCCAAATAGAACAACAACACTGGCATTCATTGACATTTGGGCTACAGTAATTAACTCGTTTCAAAGAAATAACAAACATAAAGATATGTTGGAAATGCATTTTCAACATTCTCCTTGGTCAGAATACCCCAACCAAACGGTAAGTTTAAAGGCCTGTTTATACCTCAACGATAACTATAACGATAAAAAAGCTAAAAAGCGATTGTTCATATAGAGAACAAAAGAAATAAGTGAAGTTTTTACACTAGGATGATTCGATAACGATTTACCGTGTATACGATAACAAAATATTTTAACAAATCAAATGACGTCATAATCATGGAAAAATCGTTGCTACTACTACGATTTTAATGTTTTTCCATGATAATGACGTCATCTAATTTGATTTGTCAAAATATGTTGTTATCGCATAACTGATCAATCGTTATCGAATCGTTCTAGTGTAAAAACTTCTCTTATTTCTTTTATTTTCTATATGAACATTTGCTTTTTAGCTTTTTTATCATTATCGTTATCGTTGAAGTATAAACAGGCCTTAACCAAGCGAACTTTGTCCAATTTTTAATGAGCAGTTGGTTTACTGTGAATAGAATCGTTTACATATCTTAGTGAGCTTACAAGTGCATCACTGACCCTTAACAGGATGTATTCATGACTGGACTGAGTGGCACAATTTGACCCTTCGTCTTGGTAAAAATTGATCTAATGCATACATTGCTTTCGTCATTTTACGGCCTGTTTAAGAGTCGTTCAACATTATCAACATTTTCACAAGTGTACAAACAGAACGCTAGGGAGGAGGGGGTAGAAAAATTTGTACTCTTTATGCATAAAAATGTTGATTCAAATTAACATGCAATATATAAAATAATGGTAAATTATAATGTAACCAGGGATATAATATTCATTTTTAAGCAACCAAGTACATCGCTTTAGTTGACTTCACAAAAAAATAGGGAATGTTTTTGGAAAATCAACATTTTTTGTACACTTTCAGAGGGGCGGGATTCTGAAAGAGAGTACTGTCTGTACACTTGTGAAAATGTTGATAATTGTGAACGACCCCTTTAGTAATTCCACACCAACCCATATTTTCTTTGCTTCAACTATTTTACTACAATTACTGGGAAGTAATTTTCTATATACATAAACACCACAATCCTCTTTGATATCTGCCAGCCAATGGGCACAGGGTTTTGTGGATCTGGCTTAGTCTGCTATTTGGTTTGAATGTTGCGATATGAAGCTACCCATATTTGATAGCAGCTATGAATTGGTTCTGCCCGAGTCTCTTATGCTCTGAAACTACTACACTAAGAGCAGCCACTACCAACTTGCTGGGGCCAAGCTGACACATAATCCATACAACACTCAACACTTTTGGGGGAAAAAAAAAAAAATTATTCAAATGAGAATCCATTTCCAGCAATTCCAGACCCTTCATTTGTAAAAGTCCCTCCTTATTTAATGATTCCTCTGCGTCTATTATTTTTTGGTTACTGTTAGGATATTTCTTTGGTATCCCTCCTTTTCTTTTCTGTTTTTGTAAAGCGCTTAGAAGCATTGTTTTGTATTAAGCACTCTTTAAGACCACATTATTATTTTATTTTTATTATTTAAAATTCCTCTAGCCACTTGGGACTGACTATTTGAATTGGCAGACTGTCCAAACAATAATCAATATGTCGCTTGTACGGTTCTCGAATCGGCCTATATTAATTACCTTGCCCAACCTTGTTTACCAGCAGGCCTACTGCAATTTACTACACAGCTTAATATTTTATATATCTTTAACAGTAATTACAACTAGGCACTGAATACTCAGTCACCAATTCCAACCTTGTGTAAGATTACTAATTATGATGGATGATTTTGATGTCCCGCACAAACACTTGCGGATTCCAACAATGGCAAGGTGTTACATACAGTACTAACTCAGTGGATTAAAGCTATTTTAAACTCATCAAAAATTACATTTACAATATACTGTTGAGAGGAACCAAACAATACATGCGAATATGCATCAATATATGTTGTGATTTATGAGCCTGTGGGCTTCTTTGTGCCATAAATCGCAGAAAAAAAAAAACACCTTTGATGGAGAGAGGCAATGTGAATAAGTGCTTAGCCCAAAGAACACTAAGTGACTATCCTCAGACTCGAACCCATAAATTTATTCTATTTAAGAATCCTAAAAACTTATTGGAGTGGCTAACAAGACAGAATCTGCATTCTCTCCAACAGGAACCATGCCACTTTACCTGGAGAGGCTAATCACTGATTAAAGTAGTTGATATACTTACATTACTATAACAACATGATGAAATAAGTTCATTCCCGATGATGACATAATAAATGTTGAAATATTGAATCCCAACACAATGGCATGCATTTCAATACTTGGAGTATGTATTATACTTTATCTTTTTTTATCTGAGGTGGACCTTTCAGAAATAAGTTTACATAAATCCCAATTGAGCACATGTACACCCTTAGCATGTCATTCGGAATCTTATCTAATTAACTTTTGATCGATTTTGCTGATTTTTTACATATATATTTTTATATATATTTTAATGGGATTTTTACTTGACTATTTATACTAATTTATGTTCTCATTGTCATTGGAGAGCGCCTAGACGGTGATTCAGTTCACTTTGTGGCCATCCTATCCGGCCAATTGAGTAGTTTTTTTCCTCTCTCTGTTTCATTGTGTTTGTCAGTTTTATTGTTCTTTGGATCAAATAAATGAAATTAAATATACATGTGTAGAAAGTATCTTAGAATTGTATACTCTAAGATACTTTCAATATTAGAGGAAACAATCCTCCCTTCCTGATCTATCAATGGTAGCTGATGTGTCTTTCTATTACCAACACCCCCCTCCCACCCCTATCACCTTCAAGGCTGGAATAAAACCATTCTGAAGATGCCAAGACCCAATATGTGTAGCATTCCGATAACCTAAAAAGATGTAGAATTTAATACACAAACGACAATAAGGATGGTGCATACAGATATGCAAATCAGGTTGATGGGAACTATCTGTTCACATCTGTCTACAATGATGAATATATATCCACAGCAATTAAGAAACCATACAATATCTATATATAGTAATGAACACTAATCAATCCAAAGACCAATTTAAATACGCATAATAATTTGTTTACCTTTACTATAGGTTCCGACAGGTGTCTCTTCGGCTGCTTCTTCAACCTTCACCTTTGTGGGACCTTTCTTCTTTCCGTCTCCTAAGAGAAGGGAGAAGATCTGACCAGTTTGCGAATGAAGTCCGACTGCAGTCACTACAAACTTTCCACTGCCTTCCATTACATGGGTACCTGAAATGAGAATTAACCAGGTCAAATTTACTTTCCACTGCCTTCTATTACATGGGTACCTGAAATGAGAATTAACAAGGTCAAATTTGAGAATGACAATAACACCATATTATTCCATATGCACACACCCCAAAAAAGTTCCCTCCATCTCTCATGTACAAACTCTCCCCCATCCTGTATTTCTTTATAATGATATTACATGCCAATAATGCAACCAACATTTAATAATATCCACAAACAAAATAATTCAATTACGACCCTATTGTTAAATCAAGGTAGAAAAATTATAGTTTAGGTTTCTCTCCTCCATATATATACAACACTGAAAGCTAGCATTGTCAGATACTTATTTGATTAAAATAGAAGAGGGGGTAAAAATCATTATGAATATATGAGATATTTTAATAGATAGCTAGCTACCAACCATTGCGATTCTTGATTCTTTTGCTAATGGATGCTAACAAAGAGCACATATTGCTCAAGTACCACTTAAATGGTCATTTCATTCTGGACTGGGTGATACACAAGCAAAGAAACGCTACTCCCAATTTATCTACATTACGCTTCACAGTTCAGTGGTTCAATGATGCTAGCACCTCTGATCGATAATTATTCAAAATGTTAGCAATCTTTTATGGTGTAAAACATAAAGGTGATGCACTGGTTTTAAGGTTAACTTTTTGAGGAAACTATGTGTATACCAAAGATCATCATCATAGTATCTTCATCATATCATCATTAAAAACATCATCATAACATCATCATTATATATCATCATCATCTCTCTCCCATCATTATTATAAATATCATCATAACCATTTTACCATCATCACCCTCCCATCATTATAATCAACATCACAATCATCTATCATCATCGTCCTCATTATTATTATATCATTATCATCTTCTTCATCCTCATCATCTTCATCTCCATCACCCATCATCATCAACATTAACAACTATACCTCATTATCAACCTCATTGCATACATTTTCTGTTCCTTCTTTTAGAATACAAAATATTCATATCATTATTAGTTTATACATTAAATATTCTAATCATATCTTTCTTGTAATAAAACAAGCATTTTATCAAATGTAAATGTTGAATGAATATTAGTCTCCATCTCAGCATGAGCGGGCATTTCTCTCGAAGGTATATATGCATACAGACGCGCAACTGGAGCCAGCAAGACTGAGTAATTTGACAAATGTTATACAAATCTAGGGTGCATCATCAACATCATAGATTCTGATTTGCCAGTAAAAACATTGGCTTTCAGCAGACGTGTAGCATAGTAGTCGTCTTTAGCCATCACACCAAGCTTTGCCAATCCTGCTGTAACTACAAGCATTAATTACATAATTCGCTATTTTACCGAAACCAGGGGTTTTCCAAGATGATCCCTACGAATGCATGTTTCAGGAAGTGTTATACAAAGCATGTTAACTTTTAGCGTATGATCCCTTAAATATTGATAATTAAAGTTGCGATTGTGGTTAACTGGTTTTTGATGTGGGCCTACCAAGATCATTGGTCTTTTATTCTGGGGACAGGTGTGCAACAGTAGATGATTGACATCTGTCATGTAAAGTGTGATTTGACTTGAGATTTAATGTTAATGACAGCGGACAAACTGGCAAAATGTTAATGTATTTGCCGTTGAATTGTGTGCATGGAACTTACACAATTTACTGACAATATAATTATGATGAAAATAATAGGAATAATTAATAGACAATTATTATATAAAAATGGTGAAGAAATGCGACAATACTTGATTTTGTTATTTTAAAATTATAGATATTTGAAGCAAATGCACTGGTTTTCAATAGCGGTTAAGATTAAATCACAAAAAAATACAATAACAACATTAAATATTAATTGAAAATTTAAAAAACAAATATATAAAAATTAAATTATTTAAAAAAATAAAACATTTTTTAACAGTATTTTGATTAGAATTCTGCAAATACTAGTAATTATGGCTACAGTAGTAGTGGTAGTGTTGGCAATGATGTTAACAGTGAAAAAAGAGAGGATGAGGGAAGTTGATTTTATTGAGGATGATGATAAAAGTAGTCATAATGATGAGGATCGACAATGACGATGGTATCATGACAATGATGATATTGATGATGATGATGAAGATTATGATAATTATTATTGATGGTGATGGTGGTATGATGATGATAATATAATGATTATGTTTAATGGTGATAATTATAAAGCGTGGGAGAGGGATAATGGCAATAATGATAGTGAGAAGGATGATGATTACCATAATATATCGAGGATGTAGTTATTGTTGACGATAATAATGATAATAATGTGAAGACATTTGATGATGTGAGGATGATGACGATTGTGATAATGATACTGATGTTGAAGATGATAATGATGAATATCCTGAGGATGATATTAATGATGATGAGGACGATGATGACGATAATAATGGTATTAATGAATATGTGCTAATGTTGATGATGATAAATAAAATAAAGATGTTATTGATGTTTTTGTTGGTGTTGGTAATGGTGAAGATGATTGTGATGACTATAATGTCAAAGACGATTAACCGATGACAACGTTGTTAATGATGACTATGATGAAGATGGAAATGATGATGATGGTGATTATGAGATGATGATTTCGAAATTTATTTTAATTTCATTCTCATCACATAAACAACGTATCATTGAAAAGACTAATCACCCTTGTAAAAAAAATCACGTACTGTTACCCATGTAACGCAACTCATAAATCACATAAAAAGTCCCACGCATATAAAAACACTGGGAAAAATGATAATAAAATGACTTCAATTCAAAATCCATTTCCTGAGAATATTAAACTCTGAGTAATAATTGAAGAGATAGAGCGAAGACCTGATCAAGACTAATATGAACATTAAGTTTGTACAAGGACGCCAGTCAGAGTCTATCTATACATTGTCCCATTAACTTCACAATCTTATGATTTCATGTCCTATTATGGATAGGTTCGTTCATACTAAATATCATCATCTTGCAGAGCTAATGGAGGTGCACCATTCATCAATTTTAATCGGCCAGACGACTAGATTCGCTGGCAGAAAAAAGTATTTGCGTATTAAATTTGTATGTGCATCTCCAACTAAATGACATTTAACTTTGGTAATCCTGGATGGGAAGCATGGATGGGAAATTATAAGGCATTTTTACACAAACTAGCTATCTTATAGAGTAAAGGTCAATGTAATGGGACAGGCTATCACAAAAAATATAGAAAAACACAAATCCTTTCATAACCAGTTCTGTGTGAATTTTAATATGTTCACTGGTATACTTTAGTGTTTGATCATTCCATGTTTCAATACAAATGCTGATGTCTTTTAAGACGTCATAGTACCAGAATGTTGAAAAAAAAACAACTCTATGTTGGCTAATGAATGGCTTTTCCACGATGCTTGATTCCCCTGAATACTGGGGGCCAGTAGAACGTCTTCTAACTTTTGTTACAACAGAAAATTGAATCGATAATTTAAGTTGAATTTATCCTCTATGTCAGATACATTTATTGGGCTTTAAGGAGATGCTATCACAATAAAATATATTATTACAGATACCATAACCGATCATTCTAGATTGAGAAGAATACCGTAAACCTGCTTAATTTTTACAACATTAACAATTTTTGATGATTTCACTTTACTAACATGACATTTCATGTCTGTCTCAGAAACCTGAAATGGAAACCAAATAGCAGATTTGTTGCTAATTAAAAATTAATTTGGGTTGTGTTGTTGAAAGAAACAAGAAAATGTATACATCTTTAAATGTCAGTGACCCATTTTGGTTGAAAAAACTGTAAACTAAATAACAACCTAAATTTAGAATGCCATTGTATCCAAATAACTGTTATTGTACTTTACTTTTTTTGGCTTTCTTTATTGTACATCGTGAACTCTGTGAACTTTGGCGAGTTGTTTGCACCAACACATTTAAATAAAACAAATATACAACTATGATCCAGTTCCTAAAAAGCAGGATTAGCTTGGTGTGGGATTTCATATCTATTACTTAAATAATACCCTTATTATAAAATGGTCTGTTCTATAATTGTTGAGGCATTTTTTTCCTGTGGTGTTTTTTCTTACTGGTACTTCCCTATGCGACTACCTCATGAATTGATAAAACTATAAAAAAAAAAAAATAAAAAAAAACCCATTGAATTGCTGGTTTGGAAGTATTTAGTAAGGGGTCATTCACAATTATCAACATTTTTGCAAGTGTACAAACAGTACTCTTTTTTGGTACTCCATCCTCTCTGAAAGTGTACATAAAAAATGTTGATTGTTTGTGAACTCAACTGAAGTATTGTACTTAAAAATGTAGGCCTATATATCCATGGTTGCAGTATAATTGGTCATAAAATCTATTATTTCAAATATTTTCCATGGTGTTATTTTAAATCAACATTTTCAGGCATATGTAAAAGTCTACAAATTTGTCTACCCCCTAGCATACCCAGGGATGTCGTTATGCAGGGTAGAGGTGGGCGGGGCTTCCCAGTCTTGACGTCTTGTGCCCATTCAAAAGCCATTTTTAAGGCCTTCCGCCCAGCCTCATGTAAACCCTCCCGCCCACCTATAAAATTATGAACACAAATTTTTGCCCAATAATAATGCTTTTAAAATATATCGATGGATTCTCGCACCAGTTAGAATTTTCTTCATCAAGGTGCTTGCTTCACTGAACGTAGAAAACATGTGATTCGTCACTTTGCATGAGAGCGAGGTGGTTTGTTTGAAAACACGAGTTGTCTGTCTACCTTTTTCATCATAAATTTTGGTTCCCGGTGGGCTCTACTATCTATTGAAGTACTGGACTGTAATAAAGTTTGCAAGCCCAGGCTTGACTCTAACACATGTAATCATTACAGAGATTGCATTGTAGAGTGAACCATTTTAAACAGGGTGTATGGATGACTTTACGTATTCCATGGTAAAGTTTATGACC